CTGAGAGAAGAGGGGACTTTCTGCCACCATTCCAGACAACAACAGAGCTATGGATGAGTAGAAGTTCCAGGGAGGCTAATTTTGAGCCCATATAAAGAAGACTTGATCTCCCAACAATGAAATGTGTTGTCTTGTGAAGGAGTGAGATCTCTTGTCATTCAGCTGTTCAAGCTGGGGTGGAATGACCAGCTGGGAGGGTGCTTTTGGAGGGATTTCTACGTTGGGTGGGGGAGGGGGAGGTGGGAGGGAGGAGTCCTACTAGATGGCATTTAAGATTCCTTCCAACATGAGATTGTGGATATTTGTTCCTAGTTAAGAGAGTACACTGACTTAAGGGTCCTCTGTATCCTTATTGAGGAAAGGGATGTTAGCTCCTATAGACTGTCATCCTGTACAGATTTTTCTGTTTAAAAGAGAGTAACCAAATTTATCAACCTGGATTACTGGTTTTCAGATGGTTAGGATCACATTTCCTATCTTTGTTTGTAGATGGTTTGCACAACAAGGGTTCTATATCCAAATAAATTTGAATATGAGCCTTCAACATGCCATTGCCCTTTGTGACTATCCAAAAGACAGAGAAAATACACAGCAATTCTAAGTTGACTTCTCATTTTTGCAAAGCACTTTAGAAGCACATCTGTCAGTTTAACCCAGTGGTTCTCAGCTCTGGTTGCTGATGAGAATTATCTGGGGAGCTTTTAAAAAAAAAAAAAAAGCAGATGCTTATTTTCAGAAGTGTTAAGAACATACATCAGGGAGAGACTGTCTCTTCAATAAATTGTGCTGGGAAAATTGAGTGTCCAGAAGAATGAAACTAGACCCCTATGTCTCACCACACACAAAAAACAACTCAAAATGGATTAAAGGCTTAAATATAAGACCCAAAACTATGAAACTACTAGGAGAAAATATAAGAGAAATGCTTTATAACATTGGACTAGGCAAGGATTTATTAGGTAAGACCCCAAAATCACAGGAAACAAAAGCAAAAATAGACAAATGGGATTACATAAAATTGAAAAGTTCCTGCACAGCAAAGAAAACAATCGACAGTGTGAAGAGACGACCTACAGAACAGGAAGAAATATTTGCAAACTCTATATCTAAATAAGCAGTAAATATCCTGAATATATTAGGAATTCAACTCTATAGCCAAAAAAAAAAAAAACTAATTAAAAGTGGGCAATAAACCCAAATAGACATTTCTCTAAAGAAGACACACAGTGGTCAATAGATAGAAGAAAAAATGCTCAGTATCCTCAATCGTCAGGAAAATGCAAATAAAAGCCACAATGAGATGTCACCTCATTCCAGTTAGTATGGCTGCTATCAAAAAGACAGAAGATAACAAGTGCTGGCAAGGATGTGAAGCCAAGGGACCCCTTGCACCCTGTGGGTGGGAAGGTAGTAGGACAGTCATGACGGAAAACAGAGTGGAGACTCCTCAGAAAACCCAAGATAGAACTACCTCGTGACTCCGCAGTTCTGCCACTGGGCATATATATGTTCAAAGGAAAGAAGATCAGCATATTGAAGAGACATCTGCACACCCATGTTCACTGCAGCGCTGTTCACAGAACAGAGAAATGGAAACACCCAATATCCATCAGCTGAGGAGTAGATGGAGAAAATGTGAGGGTGGGGCTGTGAATACTATTCAGCCATAAAAAGGATGAAATCCTGTCATTTGCAGCAACATGGATGGAACTAGGGGACACTATAAGTCAAGTAAATGACTCATAGAAAAATACTTGATGATCTCATTCGTGTGGAATCTATAAAAGTTGATGTTAGAGGAGTGACTAGATTAGTGGTTGCCGGAAGCTGGAGAGATCAGGGGCTAGGGACAGACAGGGTTAGATAGAGGAGAGAAATCCTGGTTATTTGCACAGTCTGGTGGCTCTAGATGACAGTATTGGAAAAATGGTCTGCAAACAAGACCTGGCCTTACTTTAAAGCTAAGAACCTGGCAGCATTAGTAGCTCAGTTCCTCATAACTTCCCAGTGAAGTGGGGAAGGTTGAACCAGATTTTCTTCAAGGAGCCAAGACTTGAGTCAGGTAACCGAAAGTTCCTCCAGCACTTAATTTTAAAGAAAGATTGGGCCAGAGCTCTGCAAGCCAGGGTCCCTGCACAGAGTCGAATGCTGGATTTCTGGTTAACAACTGGGAAAGGCATGCACTACCTATGGCAGGCTGACCTCCTGAGCCTTCAGGCCAATCTCAATTTCAGATGGCCCACCCCACTGATTGGCCAGACCTGTGATTCAGAGGGCATGGTTGCTATTGAATAGGAAGCAATGGCTAATTGTGCAAAAGTAAATAGAGAGGGGCTAGGGTTGTGGCTCAGAGGTAGAGCACTTACTTAGCATGTGAGAGGCACTAGGTCCAATTCTCAGACCGCATATAAATAAATGAATAAAATAAAGGTCCATCAACATCTAAAAAAAATTTTTCAAAAAAAAAGTAAATTGAGAATTAAAGAGCACAATTAGGCCTAGTTTCTACTTCACTTTCAGTTGATGAAGGAATAGCTTGAAGCTGCCCTAACCACTGATGGTTCAGTAACAAGAGTCCCTGATTCTCTGTGCTTGGGCCAAGTGTGGACATTACAAGGCTAGAATAAGGTTTTTCGCCCAAACATCCTATCAAGGCATCCACTTACTACAATTGTGGAAACTGTGGACTATTCCTATCAGCAGCTCAAAGGATTGCAAAACTGAATAACATCTTTGTCTCAAGAATTTATATGAATCCCCCTCCCTTTTTTCTCTACAAGCATTTTGTGGTTCACCATTGCAGACACTGCATATCTTTGTATCCCACACAGTCCCCATGTTAATAGTTGTTTGCTAGTTGTGGTCATTTAATTGAAAAAGGCTGGCAGGGAGATATTACAGGTCCCAATAAGGTCATTTTTGTATCAAATATGGCATTATTGCTTTTGACCGTCTCCCTTTGAAGGTCAAATTTAGTATAGTTCTTTAAGTGAATTAATAACATGTGGGATGATGAAGCACTGAATAAAAGATGTGTGTGGCCTTGAAATATGCCCCATGTCCACAGTTCCAAGGTACTTGCCATGGCACATTGCCAGATGTACATTAGAGAATCCCAGATGGCATGGTTCTGTTGGTTCTTGTTTGGGATTTTCCCTGGGAATGGGGTTAAAGAGGACACTGTGCTGCGGCAGGGATCCTCTTTCTTGCCTCTCCCAGGCAGGTCCTGGAAATCTCCATCTCAGAAAGCTTCCCAACCTCCCTTGGGATTATGGGGTTGCCAGGCACCTAGTAACCCTACAGAGCTCAGAGAGATGGAAGTCCCTCCCGTGGTCTGTGCTTGCCCTCCCTCAGACCCCATGCCTGAGCAAGAGAGGGCACTAAATCGGCGACTCAGTAGATAAGCATCATGTTTCCATCCGCTGGCCTGTCTTGTTGCTTTATTTTCTGTGAGATCCCTTTTCACAGAAATGAGATCCTTTCATTTTTTTAAAGCAGCCCCCCAGAAATTCATACACACAGAGAAAAGTAAATAGTGTAGTGACCCCCCCACACCTCTTTAACACCCACCTTCAATACCTACCAAAGTTTTATCTCCCTCTGTCCTTTCTGTTTTGTTTTGTGAAGTAATTTAAACTAAGTCCCAGATACCTGATTTTTACCTATAAATATTTTAGTATGTGTCTCCAAAACATGTGGCATAACTTTTTAGAAACTCAACCATAGTACCTTTATTATACTTCTTAAATTTAAGAATAGTTGCAAACCCATTCAGGATCAATTTTCCCTAATCATTTTAAACATGTCCATAAACATGTAGTATAAGTCAGGATCCAAATAAGGTGTACTTGTTGCATTTGGTAGATCTATCCTTAAAGTGTCTTTTAATCTATTACAAATTCTCCTCCTTTTTATTTGTATTTATTTATTAAATAAATCACATATTGTCCTGTAAAAAATTCCAAGTTATGGATTTGGCCTGTTGCATCTTCATGGTGCTATTTAACATGTTCCTCTTTCCTCCATATTTCCTGTACACTAGTGGTTAGGTCTAATGACTCAGTGAGAGGCAGGTTCAGTTTTATCTCATCAGGAAGCATATGGTGTCTGATTGAATCATTTTTACCTACATCAAATTGATCAGTGACTGGGAACAATGGTGCATGCCTATAATTCCAGCAACTCAAAAGGCTGAGGCAGAAGGATGGCAAGTTTAAGGCCAGTCTCAGCAAATGAGCAAGGCCTAAACCACGTAGCTGGACCCTCTCTCAAAAATAATGATGATGATGATGATGATAAAAGAGCTGGGAAAGTAGCTCAGTGGTAGAACACTGGGTTCAATCCCTAGTACCAAAAAAAAAAGACTGATCAGTAGAGCTAAGCATGTTGACTCTCAGCTGTGATCCCAGCTACTCAGGAGACTAAGGCAGGAAGATTGAAATTTTGAGGCTGTCCTGTGCAACTCAGAGAGACACTTGTCTCAAAAAAGGACTGGAGATGTAGCTCGGTCATAGAGCAACCCTGGAATTAATCCCCAGCATCTGGCTATCTCCTATATACACACACACACAAACACATTGATCAGTGGGTTTAATTATGGTCAGCCTGACTATCCATATGGCCTTCTCTATCAACCTGCTCATCAAATAGTTTTAGTAGTCATTGTGTTGGTTATGCCTATGCTCATTGAGGGTTGTGGTGTGGTGACTTTTGTTTCCTGTCATTCTTTCTGCATTTATTAGCATTTTTCTTTTTAATTGCTTGTAACTGTAGGTGGACAGTGTGCCTTTATTTTATTTGTTTCATTTTTATGTGGTGCCAAGGGTCAAGCCCAGTGCCTTACACATGCTTGGCAAGCACTCTGCCACTGAGCTACAGCTCCAGCCCAGTGTTATTCTTTTATATAAAAAAACTCACCATCATCAACTATTTGGGTACTCTGAAATATAGGTCATATAAGAAAAGCAGCATAAGTGGTTATATATTTATTTAATAATTTTTAGAACATCAAATTGTACCAGCAACCTCCAAAAATGACCAGTGAGGCTTGTTTGTTTTTGTACATCATTAGAAACACCTGGTTTATCTCCATTTCATGTGTCTGTCCATTCTTTTTTTTATTATTATTATTACTTCTGTAGTTATAGATGGACAGAATGCCTTTATTTATTTGTTTCATTTTATGGGGTGCTAAGGATCGAACCCAGCGCCTCACCCATGCTAGTCAGGTGCCCTCCCACTGAGCTACAGCCCCAGCCCCCGTCATTCTTATTTTTGATCTTCAGTGCCACTTTGATCCCTTCAGGGTACCAGTTGTGGATCACTGCACTGAACATTTTTTCTCCTTCAGTTTAGAGCTACTCCTGATTCCAATCCATCAACTATTTCCTGTCAGTCTATGACATCATCAGTACACACATTAAGAGTAGACATTTTGGGCTGGGCTGTGGCTCAGTGGTAGAGCGCTCGCCTAGCACGTGCAAGGCCCTGGGTTTGATCCTCAGCACCACATTAAAAACAAGTAAATAAAATAAAGGCATTGAGTCCAATTACACCTTAAAAATTAAAAAAAAAAAAAGAGTAAACATTTTTTTAAAAAGCTTATCACTTTGATGCTGCCTTATTGTCCAAGGACATGTCAGGGGACTTCTGTCATAGAACAGAGCCCAAGCCATTTAGGGTGCTGTCAAGTTCTTGGTGAAGTGCATGTTGTAGGAGCTGCATACTTGCCATGGAAACAGCACCCCTCATCAGCCCTCAACAAGTCAAAAATGAAAAAACAAAACCTTGTCCTTCATTCAGATGGTCTGAGAAGCAGCAGCAGTCAAACCCAGGATGCCTTCATCCACCCTACTGCCATGTTGGTCTTGCCTGGCTTCCTCCACTGCACACCTCCACAGAGCACGCCTGGAGCAGGGCACATGGAGGCATCCCATGAACCTCCACTGAATCCAGGCAGAGCCTTGATTGCCCTCCAAAAGGAGGAGCCATACTGTTTCACAAATGATAGCCTGCAAGAAAAAGAATTCTGATAATTCCTAGGAAGCTGAAGTCACTTACAAAAGAAAGTATGAGACGAAATAATTCTAAGCAGTTATTGCCTTCCCTGAAGATTCTCATAGAGCCAGGCACGGTGGCACATACTTGTAATCCCAGCAGCTCAGAAGGCTGAGGCAGGACCATGATAAGTTCCAGGCCAGCCTCATCATTTTGGGCTTCGTGAGGTCCAAAGAAACTCAGCAAGACCCTGTCTGAAAATAAAAAATAAAAAGTTTTAGGAATGGGCTGGGACTGTGCCTAAGCAGTAGAGCATTCGTCTAGCACGTGCGAGGCCCTGGGTTCGATCCTCAGCACCACATAAAAATAAATAAATAAAATGAAGGTATTATGTTCAACTACAACTAAAAAATAAATAAATGAATTTATAAAAAATGGGTCTGGGATATAGCTCAGTGGTAAAGTGCCCCTGGATTCAATACCCAGTACCAAAAGAAAGAAAGAAAAGAAAATGTTTCTCATAGAATAGGGAATAAGTAGAATAACATTAAGTTGCTGATCCTCACTATAGGTGTCCTGAGACTCTTATTCCAAGAGTCCATATACACATTGTGTAAAATAACAAAGCATAGTAACAAACATCGTCCATTTTCAGAACAGAAAAACTAAAGTGGTCATGACACCATTGGGAAGAAAATAATGTGTTTCATCTTCCAAATAAGATTATATAAATGAAAGGGGGGGAAAGATAGTGTCATATACTCTCTGTTTTTTCCTTTCTTCCACCTTTTTCTGTCCTCTCTTTCTGCCTTCCCTGAGGATTCAGAGTTCATAAAAATTTGTTCTTTGAAGGAATCCAACATCTTGTCTTTTAAAAATTGGACTTTTGCCCGGTGCAGTGGTGCACGCCTGTAATTCCAGGGTCTTAGGAGGCTAAGACAGGAGGATTGTGAGTTCAAAGCCAGCCTCAGCAAAAGAGGGGCACTAAGCAACTCAGTGAGACCCTGTCTCTAATAAAATACAAAACAGGGTTGGAATGTGGCTCAGTGGTTGAGTGCCCCCGAGTTCAATCCCCGGTACCCCCCACACACAAAAAAAAACTACTGCCATGTGTGATGGCACACACCTATGACCACAGTGACTTGGGAGGCTGAGACAAGAGGATCACGAGTTGGAAGCCAGCCTGAGCAACTTAGCAAGACTATCCCAGTATCTCAAAAAAATGAAAAGATTGGGGATGTAGTTCAGTGGCATATCTTCCCTGGGTTAATTCCCAGTACCAAAATATAAATAAATAAAAACTGGCTTTGGAAAAGTCACCTTTAGCTCTCGAGACTTGTGGCAGCTGGAGGAACAACTGCCATAAGGAATTGAGTCTGTACCTTGCCTCCCCTATCTCAGCAGCCCTAGCCCCAGTGAGTCTATACCCCACTCCCAGCATGCCCTGCTCCACCCAGCAGCTGGGGCTGCACTAACTTGGTGTGTCTCCTGGGGGAGAGGATAACAGTGCACACTCAAAAGTCATCAGCTGTCTCACTTATCACAGGAAGGGATTTTACCTCAGGACAACTCAGATTCTCTGGAGCCCTGCATGAAAAGACAGGTTTCCTTCTTTGTTCTCTTTTTTCTTTTTCTTTTCTTTTATTATTATTTTTTTTTTGATTGAATACAATTCAAAACATAATCTGCTAAAAATAAAAGAAGAAAAATTGAGAATGTCTTACACAGCTGGTGAAATTGGTAGTTGAGGGTGTGCAGGTATCCGTTGCAGAACAACTGGTTTACATTTATCAACAACTACTAAGTGAACTAGAAATGTCTGGAAACGACTGCTTTTTAACATCCCTTCTGATCAACACAGCTTGCAGAGCTCATAAAAAGAACATTGTCCAACTCACTGTACCTGAGACACTATGGAGCCTGTCCACTATCTGTGGACCCAGAACATGCACAATTGCTGAAATCCCATGTGACCTTTGTCTTCACAAACAAAAGGACTGATAACCCCAGGTGTCACCACCCCTGTGAACACAAGGGCTCAGCTTAATGACTGTCCCCTGCCCTCAGAAATGGGGCTGGAGCCCAGGGGCACTCTATCCCTGAGCTATATCCCCAGTCCTTTAAGGGTCTTGCTAAGTTGCTGAGGCTGGCCTTGAATCTGTGATTCTCCTGCCTCAGACTCCCAAATCACTGGGACTATAGGTGTGTGCCACCACACCCAGCTTAATGACTATTTTTGAGTACAAACAAATTTCCTGAAGTGGAAGAAAAGAAAATAGTCATACTTAGGGGTGAGCAGGGGCTCCACTTAACCCAGATGTTCTCCACCAATGTGTAACATGAAGCGTGCACCAATGCCCCGCCTCCAATCTGGGAGTTTCGCAGTCATAAGCTGGCCCCTGATTACGGGAACCATTCCATGTACCAGGCATGGGACTGCGCACTTTATATTAGTGGGGTTTTTTTCCCAAATCTTCACAATAGCTCTAAGAGATCAGTGTTTTTATTATTCTCTTTTGCAAGGCAGGAAGCAGCTGACTCAGATCCTGCCCCTCTTAAGTGGCTGTGCTGGCCTGAGAAATAGGTCTGTCCAACTTCTCAGCAGTCACACTGTCCTTTAGGTTTTTTGTTTTTTTTCTCTTAAAAGTTTACGAAGGGTGTGTGTGTAGTCCTGTGCTCCTTGATGAGAACTGTTTCCAAACGACCCCTTGCCCTAGAACTCACAGAAGCTGTAGAAGGAGTAGAAACTGGCCACAGCCGTCACTGAAGGGTAATAATTAATGAAAAAGGTGTCACTTGAAGAGGTCAGTGACATGGAGCGTCTGTTTCTCTTGGATTACTTTCCTTAAATAATGTGTTGCTATCAGCAGAGACCAAAACAAATGCAAACAGATCTGAACAGTTTAAACCTCTGGGAAGAAAAATTGGAAAATAAAGTGGTTTTCACAGCCTTAAACACTCTCACCTCTTTTCCTGTATTAGTAATTGTAATTACCATTGTTGGGGGCATTTTTTGTGCCAAGCAATGTGCTCCCTATTAACTATCAACCATTCCAAAAGCTAGAAATCACTGTCTTAGTTTTACAATTGAAAAAACTAGGATCACATGAAGTTAAGAAGTTGTAGCTTCATGGAGAATCTTAGGAGGGCTTTCCCTCCATGAATTTCAGTAGATTCAAAATACACAACCAAAGTAACAAGAGACAGCACAAATAGATGAGGATTCCAAGGAATCTCGAACAAATCACAGGCGGTTTAGAAATTGCACCTCCCGTGGTATGTACACAGCAAGAACTGCAGTTAAAATGAGCCAATGTAGTTTTCTTCAGGGCTACTGTGATACTACCCATGCTAATGTCCTGTGTTTCTGGAGACTCTTCTAACTCTGTGAGTTGCAAACCTGATACTTCCAGAAAGTTCCAAGGCCAACAGCCAAGCCTAAGAATCTTGAATTCAGACGCCCCAACATCAGGACCTCTCTCCCCAGCAGCATCTCCTAGATTAGCTTTCTGATGTCTCTGGACCTGGGTCTCACTGACTAGAAAGGAGAGCAGATTCCTTAGCAAAAGGACGTAAAAGTGGTCCTTGCTCTCTGTCCAGATCTCACTGAGCTCTTCAGAACACGTGAACAATCTGAGGTTGTTGGTGGTAATTTAGATGTTGTTGTTGTTTGTTTTTAAGGTACTGGGGATTGGACTCAGGGCATTCTATTACATCCCAGTATTTTTTTTTTTCCTCAGCTTGAGACATTGTCTTCTTAAGTTGCCCAGACTGGCCTCAAACTTGCAGTACTATTTTGGGTTTTTTTGTTTTGTTTTGTTTTTTTGGTGGTGAGGTGGTACCTGGGATTGAACTCAGGGGCACTGAACCACTGAGCCACATCCCTAACCCTGTTTTGTATCTTATTTGGAGACAGGGTCTCACTGAGTTCCTTAGTGCCTCGCTTTTGCTGAGGCTGGCTTTGAAGTCGTGATCCTCCTGCCTCAGCCTCCTGAGCTGCTGGAATTACAGGCGTGAGCCACTGCGCCTGGCACAAACTTATGATACTCTTACCTCAGTCTCCTCAGTAGCTGGTGTTACAGGCCTGTGCCATGGGCACCAGCAATCTGCTTTATTTTAAAGGTGGAAATGGGCCTTTTGAGAGAGAGAACAGCCACCCACAAACTAGAGATTTCCTTCATGCTGTGGTTCTCAATTCTCTGCATTCCTAAGGACTTTGTTAGATCTTGAGTCTTCCATTTCTGCTAATGAGAATGTCCCTCCCAAAGTTGATCGATAATCCCTTCTTTCTGCCACCTTCATGAACTAGAGAGAGGGCCTGCCAACTGATAGTCACCTTGCAACTTGAACTTGTCAGTCCAAAATAAAGACTGTTGCTCTGACTTTTGATTCATTTACAGTGAGGGATGGTGAGGGGCCAGCGAACCAGAGTTTCTCACTTCCTGCCAGTTCACCGACACGTGGAGCCCTTTGACAGGTGATATGTGGGCACTCCTGTCATCTCTTATCAGTCCCCGAGACTGAGACCAGGCATTTCTTCCTCCTGTTTATTACAGCTGGGACACAGGGGGAGCGGAAGCTCTTTCCCCTGCCCCCTAGTTCTCTTTTTCCTTCTTTCTCCATCTCCTCATCTTTGTTCTCTCCTCTTTTCTCTCTCTCTGTTCCACTCTTCTCAGCATCGCATTTAACCACTTTATGTGATAAATCCAGTCAGTAGCTCTGAAAAGACTAATTCCTACTGCAGAAATGGCTGCACAGCTTCGGCTTGGGAACAGACTGAAGTCACTGAAGACAACTTAAGATGCTAGGAAGAAGGGATTTGCTGGAGATGGGTTCTACAATGAAAATTCTGCTATAAAGAATCCTTTTATTCCCCTCCCCCTGGGTACAGTCTGAATAATTTATACCTAATGCCAAGAAATTATATATAATTAGTCTGGGTAATGCATACTTTCCATTTAATTATATATATTAAAGTGATCAAGGAATTCCAGTTTTTCACGAGTAAGTCTCTGCCTCCCTTGTTGCACTCCAGGTCTGTGATGACTGTGTCAGGGTAGGACTCGTGCAGAACTGAAGGGGGCAAAAGTTGGAAGACTTTAGCCCAACTTGGTCAACTGGTACCTGCCAGCACGGGAGGTAACATGCAGTGAACCACATGTAGGCGGCAAATGGAAAGGACATGTGCACCTAATCTCTTAAAATCACCATGTAATTTTACATGCCTTTCCATAAGAAAATTGTATAAAACTGGTGTTTTTAACAGTTTTTCTTTGCTGTGACCAAAATAAGAACAACTTAGAGGATAGAAATTTTATTTTGGTTCATGGTTCCAGAGGTGTAGTCCATGGTCGGCCAAGTCCATTGCTCTGGGCTCAGGATAAGGCAGAGCGTCGTGGTGCAGGGTGTGGTGGAGGAAAGCTGCTCCGTTCACAGCAGCTAGGAAGCAGGGAGGGAGAAGAAGGGGCCTCGAGGAAAATGAACTCTTCCAGGGCACGACCCCCAGCCCCGCCATGACCCTCTTCTCCAGCCATACCCCTTCCTACAGTTACTGCCCAGTCAGTCCATTCAAACTGGGTTGCAGCTCTCACAATCCGTTTCATCTCTGAACATTCCTGCATTAACAAGAGTTTTGGGAGAACACCTCATATCCAAACCCTAGCAAGTATAGATGGGAAGGCCCAGTTAAGGAAATTACTCAGTTGTGTCAGTGACGTCGCCCATATCACATAGAATACAATGAAATTTTTGACATTTGTTTTTAATTGATTACTTCTATTTGCTTTTGGTAGAGTACCTCTATATGTTCATTCCACATAACAGGATAGATTTCACGCTTTATCTTTGCAGGTAACTCATCTAAGACAGTTTTATGTAAATGGATTAATTAATCAGTAGCCTTCACTTGAAACTTAAAAAGAAAATAATCCTTTCTGAGAGACATTAACTACTTTTTAATGCCACAGACAATTCTTTGCTTAAGCAACTTGTCACACAATTAGAAATTATTTGACAGCAGTAATCATAATAAAATGAATTTACCCTTTACCAGATCACCTTTTTTTTTTTTTTTTTTTTGAGGTAATTAAAGGAAACCATTCACTGGGAGACTATGCAGCAACTCGTTAAAAAAAAAAAAATCACATGTTTGGAAAGGCAAGGGTATATATTGACAAAACTTTTTGAGTAAATGACATCACAAGTTAAATTACCTCTACAGCTTTTCTGAGGCAGCATCTAACCACAGCAGTGTGCTGGATTCAAGGAAAGGCAGCTACAGCTGGCCTCCTCCAAGAGCCCTTAAGCCTCTCTGCCTTCCAGCCCTATGATTTATGCAAATCAGAAAGCTTTGGCGGTCTCCACTTCCTGGCCGGGCCAGCATAATCCACTTCCTTCGGGTTCATGTGACCATGCAAATTTGAGCACTCCTGAATAGTCCCGGAGGGGCTGTGCCTCTCATTATTCCTGCCCCATTCTCTGTGCAGTGCAGGCATTCAGACTATGAATGGACAAGGGTTTAATTACTCACCACATCTGTCAGATCAGATTCAACTTGAGAATGAAGAGAATCCCAGACAAGCCCAGTCGTTTCTTTGCAATGTTCTTCATGGCCGAGGTCATCCAGCCCTGTCTTCTAGGGAATATTTTCCACTCCTTGTTTCATGACCCTTCTGGAAAACAGGGACTCCAGCTTTTGGAGATCCATTACTGGGCTTTTCACATTGTGTGTGGCCTTTACAAATGTTAATTAATCTTCCTGATGATGCACTGAGCATCAGGGAGCCCTTTATTCCCCCAGGGCTACTGATGACCAATATGAATGCCAGAAAGTTTTTCTTACTGTTTCCTGGCCCCGCTCCCCTCTCCTCTCTGTGTGCTTTGCTGCTTTCCCTCCCAGACCA